GTAATTAATATTATTATTGTTATAAATATTATATAATACAATAATATTATTATAATATAATACTATACTATTTAAATATTATTACTAACATAATTAGGCTACATTAGAAACAATTAAGAAATTATTAAAATAATAAAAATATCAGTGAAGCAGTTTTGTTATTAATATTATTATTGTTACATATAATATATAATATAATGATATATTTTTATTATTATTTTTATTATTAAAAATATTGAAAACAATTAATGAGCTCAAAACAATTACAACAAATAATTAAAATAATTAAAATAAATAGCAGTTTTATTATTAATATTATTAATGATATAGAAATTACATAATGCAATAATACTATTTTTTTATTATTATAAAAATATTATAAATGCAATAACATTCGAAAGCATTAAGAATTAGTTTAAAATAAATGATTGAAGTAATTAAAATCTCCCAAGTTCTTAATATTCTTAATGTTACAGATAATATATAATATAATGATATATTTGTATTATTAGAAACATTGAAAACAATTAATTAGCTGAAAACAATTAAAACAAATTATTAAAATAAATAGCAGTTTTATTATTAATATTATGAATGATATAGATATTACATAATGCAATAACACTTTTTTTTATTATTATTAATATTATAAATGTAATAACATTAAAAAGCATTAAGAATTAAACAACTAAAACAAATTATTAAAATAATTAAAATAAATAGCAGTTTTATTATTAATATTATTAATGATATAGATATCAAATAAAGCAATAATACAAATTTTTTATTATTATTAATATTATAAATGTAATAACATTAGAAAGCATTAAGAATTAAACAACTAAAAGTAATGATTGAAACAATTAAAATCTCCCGAGTTCTGAATGTTAGTGTGTTTTGGTGTGTTTATCTCTATGTGAGCGTCTGACCTGCAGAGCCCTGAGCTCCTCCAGAGCCTCGCACACCTTCAGCGACAGCTGCTTCCACGCCTGCGTTCAACACATCCACAACACAAGAGACATACTGTCAAACTAATCAAAACCGGAGTAAGCATGGCTTATGAGAAACATCTATCATGCAATTTCATTTCATGCTAAATATGATGAGCATTGCTTTGTTTCTGCACAGAGCGCTGAAGGTCGATTATAACTCTTTCATGCTTTTAAATAGAGTTTAATCAGTTTAAACAGACATGCAATTAACATTTCAGCTGCTGGAGCCGCCGGATAAGATACAGCAAAATGAACAAATCCAGTGGAGCTTATGAGGTTATGACTTTTCGTCTCTCACCGGTAATTGCCTCACGATCACGTTCTCCAGCCCCGACAGAATCTGCAAAGCCGTGGCGAAGTTTCTCGACTCGTAGCAGAACTTGCCAACGGCTAGAAAGCGAGCGAGTAAAGCCGCCTGTGCCTAAAAATACAACACGAACACAGCGAGATATTCAAATACACACGACGTCAGGAAAAGTATAAATATATATAGTGTGTATTATGTGCATATCAGAGAATTAAGGATGCAAATGTTCCTAATTGGCATGAAATTAACGTTACAATGCAAAAAACTATTAATGGTCCTAAAAATATGCATCATATAATTTCTTTGTTTTTTCCCCCCCCCGAGACATATTCTTGCAAGGTTTTTGTTCACATTATGGAAGCAAAAAAGGTTGTGGCTTCAAAACAATGTTATTTTAGTTGTTATTTTAGTAGCACTTATATACTATTACTATTATAGTTTTTGTTAATATTATATTTTCTGTTTGCATTTTAATTGTACTTAATGTTTAAGTAATCTTGTTGTGTTTTTGTTTGTATTTCTTTGTTGTTTTTTGTGTATATATACAAACAAATATATTTATTTGTATATACACACACATTTTATATATATACTGCATGTATATATATATAT